TGTGAAGCCGGAACAAATAGTTTAAACGGCATCAGCTTCAGGCTTCGGCATATTAACGATAGAGTAAATGAAATAAAAGTTACAGTTTACGGAAAACAACTCAGTGACCTCTCGACTGAAGCCTTGCGTCTATCAATCACGTAACCTACTGTAATGAACGATGATTTTATCCGGTCAAACACACATGGAAGCGTTAGCATCATACATTTATTTTCATGAACTGTAATATTCCGTTCTCTCAAATAAATCGCGTACTAATGTTGTCCGCGTGACTGAGTCAGTAAATCGGTTCCGATGATTCCCTATCGTTGCGGGTTACGGACGCAGCAGTGTTAGGCTGTGTTACCAACGTTCCAGATCTTGTGCCAGTGCCTGAACTTCATCAGAAGATCACGTGAATCTGGACCAGAATCCGTCGTGCTACTTGCCCTGGGTCATTCTTAGCCTCAGCTGGGATCTTCGGCCGATCAGCTGCACAACTAGTGGCTGCTTCGCCTTTCTTTCCGGAAACACCCTCAAAACCTGTCCAATCCATCACAGATGTAACGTATGAGTAAGAACAAGCAGCGACCGTACACCAAGGCTTATTCGCACATCTGGACTCCGGATTCTGTGGGGAGTTAGTGCCAACACTTCGTCTCAGGGAGCACGTTAGAACAGTTTGTACCCGGCACCGCGACTTTTTAGTCTTGACCACAGCTAAGCATCAGATGAAAATATGCTTGAATACAGGGTTCCATCATCCGACAGTAGTTCGTCGTAGTAACGACGGTTTGGAACAGTTCAAGCAGAACACACCGGCCATCCCGATTCGCCATTACATCAACTTCTGCCATCTCCAGAACCAGAGACCATATATGTTAGACCCAGAGGTTCATGAGTTTCCCCACGGGAAAAGCCCGGCTGGCATGGGAACGAAAATGCCAGCCAGGCTTTTCGTTTCAGATACCCAATGTCGGCCACGATGCATTCTACTGTAAATCTTTCCAGGGGGATTATGGGAGGGGAAAATACCAGGAAAACAAAGTTGTTAGCAAACAACAAACATATCATTTCGTCATATCAAACTCTGTGACAATTGTGACGCTGGCTGAGGCTGCCAATCCTGTCCCTACACAACACAAACAGGAGAGGGAAAGAAGGAAGCATTGGAGCAGAGCAGCGCAACTCTGAAATCAATGTCATTTGCTCTAAAGCATGCCCTGCTATCAACATCTAGTGACTGGGTGACTCGTCACAACTGGTAATCGATTTCATGCTTCTGCACCTGTTGCGAACAGGAATCACGTTGTAGGGTTTTTCCAGGTTTGAACAGCACATGGAAAACGAATGAGCATAATCCGACGATTTCTAAACAATCTAGCATGAGGCAAAAATCTAGTTAGAGGTGTCATTGCCTGATCGAGGGTCACACTGCTCTTTCTGGATCTTTGAGTTAGTAAGTTCGCAACTCCTTCGTTCCATAATCGTTTTGTAGACTTTACTCGCGATGTTCAATGAAATAATACCCAAATAATTGGAGTACATTTTATAATCCTTCGTCTTGAACCGTGGTACTGCTACCCCAGTTCTCAAGTTCATTGGTCTCTTGGCCGCAGTCAATGTAACTTGGCAAATATGGGATACCCACAAAATATCTTTTCCGCCTTAAGCTCTAAGCATCTCATGGAGGAGTCTATCGATTTCAGCAGCTTTGCCGCATTTGACGCCGTCTACAGCTTCCGTAATTTCATCTATCAAAAGTTTAATATTATTTCCCTGATGCTCTTCAGGTGAGTATCCTAGCACTTGCCCGGGGTTCCTCAAGGTAATATTTCCATTGCCGAAGCGTTTCCTCTTAGATGGAAAGAAAACTTATGGACTTGTCCTTCAGGACTCTTTAGCTACCATTCTTTATCTCCAGGAGATGGTGGATTGGCTGCCAGAATAGTTTGTTTGGCGTTGGGAAATTCACCTTCCACACTTCTCCGAACGCTTGCTACGAATCAGCAATTGTTTTAGCCAATGCTTTAGTTGCCTCATTACGCATCTTTTTGCAGAGCATTTGAGTTGAACGCACTTCGTTACCAAGCCAAATCTTCAATCGAGTCATCTTTTCGGTTCACTCGCCTTTCTTCATTATGAGGTTAATAAATGATTACCTCATTGGAAGGAAAAAAGGCTTGCACGCAAGCGTAGATTCTGCCTATTAAAAATAGAATCCTGGATGGTGATCTAGAAACTGAGATCAACACCTTCCAAATGTCTTGCTGAAATGAGGCGCGCCACAAGTGATCCCCCACCATGAAAGTTAAGGGGATGGTGGCCTACACCAGAAGGGTTTCTAACTTTCAACCTTTATTCTCGCCGCCAGCCGGTTGAAACTCTGCTGTCTACCAGGAAGTTATTTTCTGACTACAAAGCAGTAATCGTATTATACCGCAGTTTTCGACGGAAGCTTGGAGTAGGCCGTACTTGAAGACCTTCCACGTCAGCCTTCATCACTGGGTTCAAACAGTCGTGTGATGTTGCTTGCAAGGTTCGTTTTCGTTTCCGCAGAAGATAATGCTTCTCATTTGATTCTCTGCTTGCTTCTACCGCGAGGTCTTTGCATGTCACTCCATTGTTTACAACCGAGAGTTTCAACAACAAGGTGATGATCGGCTGACAACTCTGCACCTCTCATAACTCCAACCTCTAGTACAGAGCGCCGCAAGTGAGATGATAGGATTATCAGATTGATTATTGACTTCTGTGCATAAGCTTCGCTCTATGAGGAATACTTATGCACGGTTTGATTCCCGAAGAAGAGATTCACGGCAGACAGTGCGCAACAACTTCATGCCGTTTTTGTTGAGTTCAACAGGACCATTCTTTCTAACCTCGTCTTTCGACTTTACAGCGATTCCTCCAACACCCGTTTTCAGTCGTTCATCAAAATGATGGATTTTGCTGTTGCGCATGTTTGGAGGCACCAGTTGCTTCATCCAGCAAAGACGTCTTCACCCTCAAAATCAGGCGAACAACAGGGTAACCAGGCTAACCCGCAATAGGGCCGAAGAATTCGTTTGTTGCGAGTTAAGTCGGTCGACTGCAGTTCTTTCCATTACATGCTTCATTTCAATGATTCTATTATGCAGGTTGGATTCTACCGGAATATCAACATCAACCTGTCTGCGGATCGTAGAATGGTCACTTGGAAAAGCTTCTACGCTGAGACGTTCGGAATTCAAAAGCCCTGGTGTTTGATTGATGCGTGTCAAACTTTATCCGGTTGCTTACTCGCTGCATCGTCAACTAGCACTTGCATTTTCTCTCTGAGTAAGGCGATGTTCCAGTTTCTGAATTTGACATCCATCTGCTCTTATCGTCAACTTCGTGCAGATTTTCGGCAGCAGTCATCCTCAGCAGCCAGGAGGCATGAATCAGGATATGATCGTCGGTGTTTCGCTGTTTGCCTCAGTTTCGTAACAGCCAGTGCAGCACTTTGTAGCTCACACAACGGAGTGCTTGTCTAACGTTTGACAGCATTAATGTAAAGAAGAGAGGTAGTGGCTAAGTTATACTTTGAGACTTTGCCAACGTCCGAACCCCTCCTCCTTTCTCGTCCGGGCTTTGGACTGGCAAGGCAGAGTTCCTTCAGCGCATAACAAATTGTTCACATTACATTTTCAACTTCAGACGATGTTTCACATGTGTGCTGTAGAACCGACGTCACTGTGCAACGCTGCTGTGCATTTACGCGACGCTTATGCTCAAAAGCCATGATTTCGTTGTCTGGTTAAATAGTCCTACCACAATCGCCTTTAACTCAAAACTCCTTCACTCCAAATTTCGAGATAATTGAAATTTTCTTTCGAGATTGAATCAACAAATGCCGCATGATAGTTTCTGGGTACATCGAAGAATGTGCTCATTCATAATTAGTTCAGAAAAAATTTGGTTTCCTTTTCAGGCATTAGATGACATTAGCGTTTGGAGGCAGAGTTAGCTTCCAATTTACATAGAAAACGTTGACCTTGGCTTCGGCCCTCAAATGTACTTTGGACATATTGTTGATCTCCGGCGCACTGTGTATGTTTGTGAAATGCACTGAGGCTGCATTTCGCCCATTAAATAACCTTCACCGCTTCTCTCAAAGTCATTTTGAATGAAAATTGGCCAGATATACTGTAAATATCAATTGCACAGACATGCAGAGGTGGATTCATTGATGTATGGATTTGGTTCAAAACTCGATAGTTTTCTTCAGCAACGATACCGCATACAATATTTATGATATACAGGTTTTTGAACGTTTCAGATCATGCTCGACCTGTCTTCATGGATCGACATATCAGAGATACGATGTTACAGTCTCCTTGAAGATAAGCCGAGCATAGTTCGAAACGTTTGAGAATTTTTGCGTAACAAACTTTATATGCGGTGAAATCCCGTAGAGGAGTTGTCGAGTGTTGAAATATCAGTTCTAATGAAATAACTTTGAATTTACTCCAAAATGCCTCTGATGTGCAATGTATATAAAAGTGATGATCGCCCTGAAATTTAGATCTAAGAATTAACTGCTTCAAAACACTGGATTCCGAACTAACTCTTTTCCGCAATGCTGAAATATTTTGCGAAAATATTGTTTCATCATATTTATTTTGATTTCTGGGTAGAAAATTCGTAAGCTTTTCACTGTGTCTGAATTTTCTAGTTAAACTGCATTATCTTTTCAGCTGTAGTTATGGTTTCCATTGCTGAACATTAAAACAAAACTGCCAGCAATATCCAACGTTGGTGTCGTTGCCAATCGATCTGATATGCAGTAGGTAAGCTTTGACGCATCTTATCAGCTTTAACGTCTAATCAAGGTTTTGAATCCGCAAGTTCGGCCGTTTATCGAGCCTGATTTATCGCTAAGTCAATAGGCTTTTCAGGTCGTGCAGCACATTCAACAGATTTCACATGTTTGAGTCACCAACCGGACGGGCGAACCGGCACGAACAGAAGTGAATCATTCAAGCAGAACCTCAGTAATGGAGTCCAATTACGAGGTAACAGTTTTTCCGTTGTTCGAATGCGAACTCGTCTGCTTGCCTGAAACGCCCGATTTCCGACGTACGGCCAGGCTTGCCGCCATTGCCGATGGTGGATCTGCCGATTTGATGTCTCACACAGCAGTCGCTATCAACGGTGAAAATTACTGCCGCGGTGCAATATGTTTTTATAGCTGAAGGTGAAAACGACGTTTTGCCAGGCAGCCGAGGTCAAGGCTCAGAATCCAGAGGAGTACTCGTTCAAAATCCTCGTTATTGGGGATGCCGGAAGCGGCAAAACCAGCATTGTAAAGCGATACGTGCATAACCTGTTTTCTCAGCATTATCAGGCAACGGTGAGTAGGCAGATCGCATGTTTGCTTGATGAATGCAG